AATAATAATAATGTATAGTAAGCACTGGTTTTCATAAACTTGCTTTCACACCGTCAAGGGAAAAATATACATAACAGGTTATCTGTCACTATCCTCAAGATTTTTTTTTTAAGTAGCCATATTCGAATATTGTATTTCTCCTAAGATAAATTATATATAAAATTTGAAGAAGGTTTATATAAATATGCATGTATAGTATAGAGAGTACTACAGTACAATGCAGAAATATTCCATACTGCTTTGCACAGAAATATGTGCCAGCCAAGTATTGGTCTTTCCAAAAAAATATCTCTAGACGAAATCAATCGAGCTAAAAAACAGCACGCGAAAGGTGTAGACCATCCATGCATGTGCAAATTTAGCTTCTCTCATTGGCCACAGCTTAGACCCCTGTCTCACAGGTATGAACGGAACTCCCGTATTATGCCCTTTATGATTATGCCTCTATGCTCTTTATGCCGGCGTCTGAATGCAGCTTAAGACTGTATAATCATAAGGTTATTATTATACCGTACATCAAAAGATAAGGTTATTATTTCATTTTTGTTCGTATAAATATGCATTTTTTAAAATGTTGCAAAAAGTCAACATCAGTTCAAAGCAGTGTCTTTGTAAGTATATACAGATTGTCATAGATAGTGGTAGTTTCTGTTACAGATGCCACAAAACAACTATTCCAAAATAAGTAATATATGAGACAATGGTTTTAATCTTGAATGAAGCAATATAATTTAGGAAGAATTGGAAAAAAAAAGAAAAACTGGCTAAAGTTCCTCTTTATTTAAATATTTTAAATGCCAATTTCATGCTATATGAGGTTTTTTTCAACATATTTTTCTATAGACGAGCAAATGATGCCTTATTTTCATTCGAACAAAATATTTCTCAAATGAAAACTAGTTCGTTTCAAATAGAAAGTTTGGTGTTTTGCATTCCTATGAAGAGTATTTGTATCATTTTGATATATATTCAGGAAAATCTTCAAAGACATTGACTGATCTTGGACTAAGTAGAGATGATGTAACAGATCGTTTAAAGCTGCATTCACACTGGTCCATTGGAGTGAAAAGCGGCAACACAGAAAAAAATGCTTTCCACATACATCAGTTCATGCAAGCACGGCAACTTTCATTTTAAAAGTTGTCATATGCTTGCACTAGATGGCTCTTCATATCAGAAACTTGAAGGAACATGGGAAATTTTTGTGTGTTATTTTGACTTTTTACGATTACATTTTTCAATTAAAATGGATTTAATTTCTGCTCAATTCCAACTTATTTTACTTCTTGCTTTGTGTAAGAGAATCGGAATCAGTGGTCTATATTAATATGTGAGAGATGACTGCAGCAAGGAGTTGCAAATAATATTATTGAAGAAATGCGCTTGAATGAAACGAAATTTCTTTTAATTGATTTCTCATGACACCTCATCAATTCGATGAATTTCTAGCCCTCATTGAACTATTTTTTTAAAAGCAGAACACTATCGCAGAAAAGAATCATTTGGAAGATAGTAATAGGATATTCTAGAAAAGGATTGTTGTATATATCTAATTTAATTTATTTATGAGTTTTGTTGAATGATAATTAAAAAATCGTAATTGCATGATTCTATTTTGGAGAGTAAATTTTTCATGGGTTAGAATACCATAAATGTTTTTGCATGATGTACATGAACTTCTCTAAGTGGTTTTTAAATAGCAATAAAAAAGTAATTTGTTCAAATTATATGCGGATCCAGCATTACTAATAAATATCACACTTTAAAAAAAAGCAGTTATGTTAAGTTACTACACACAGCAATTAGTTTCCTTACGTACGTATTTGTTAACCTTAAATGAACCGTATTATTTCCAATTAGTCATCAGGATACTAATGAAACCGCCTAAAGGTTTATTTTTATAAGGTCACTTTATCAACGTCATTGAAGTAACTGCATTTTATATTACTTCTTTTCTGCATTAATAAAATGTGGATTCACAATTAGCAAATTTGCTAATGCTCATGCAAAAGTTCTTTAAATTAATGAAAATTTATTACCAAGATTAAACCTTTTGAAAATTGGCCATGCATATTAAAAAAAAAAAAAAAAAAATGAAGCTGTTAAAATGTGTAGAAATATTCTATAAAATCAGCTACAGACTAGTGAGCTTCTTTTCTGTATAAATAACAGTTTTCTTATTTTTTTTAAACAAATAGTTTAAACAATTAATAGTTCACTCATCAACTCATTTAAAATTCAGTAATCACTAAATTTTTAATTAGATGAAACAGCAACTTTATACTAATACTATCGCTTTTGCTAGTCTCGTGTCAGTCGAAATAGAATCAGATCAAAGTAGTCAGATCTTCTTATGAATTATAACAAAGGCTTGTTGTCAAAAGAAGGATAATGCACACAATGCCGAGTGAAAATAAAAATTTTGTCCTGTACATACAAAGAATTTTACTGAAAGAACTTCACTAAGATTTTTTTAGAACTTTTGTTACAGAACTTTTTACTTTTTCTAGAACTTTAAATTGTGATTATACTGTACACAAAAATATGGATTCTTATTGTATTGCCAACGATGTTTGTTTTTAAAAAAAAAGTGACAGTGGAGGGCAATTGTTTAGTCAGGATGCCCGAATGTTAGCAATTTCCACAATCGATCACCAGATGATATTAAAAGGTATTCAAAGCATTTGTAATAATAAAAATGAGAGTTAACAAATGTAACCATGGCAACAGACGATATTAATTATACATGCACTTTTTAAAAGATAAGTAAAATAAAGTATTTTAATGATGTTGGTTGTGAATTTCTGTCCTAATAAATAACGCAAAAACAAAAAGATACACATAGTGGATGTAAGAGAAAAGTCCTGATGACAACAATAGTGATATCAAAGCTTATACGATCTATTCCAATAGCTATTTTTGTGTAGTTTATGTGTCTGGTCTTTTAATTAAAAACTGAGTGCTACAAATGTGAAATGATTAAAGTGCATTACTAAATCTTGTGCAAATTAATAACAAATTTTCGTAAAAGTTTTGAAGTGAAACAGATTTCTTAATCAATAAAAGTAGTGTTAATTTTTCTACCAATCTTTTAAGTGATATTATTTTTAGCATTTCTCTTAGCTGACCCCTCTCCTTGCATTGTTGGTCAATATTTTTATGGCTTTTATAACTAATTTTAGTGAAACAAAATATCCTTATAATTCATTGAAATGTAAATGCATGTTGAGTGTGTTTAAAATGCTACCAGTTACACTATAAGTTATTTCTCCCACTTCCCTAGTGTGCCTTCGTGGTGTAGTGGTTCTGCACACTGAGCCGGTATTAAGGCAGTTGCATATTTTTCATCTTTTCTGCTTCCAATTAAACTAATGACTCTACAACACTATTCAAATAAAAGGGTCATATTCTTAAATATTTACTATGAGTATTTGAATATTACAACATACAAAATTGTTTTGTAAAGATATGGAATTGACATATCCTATTAACTGATATTTCTAAGCTTAATTGTAAAGAGTTCCAATTTGGTTGTACAGATTTTAATAAATGCATGAAAGTTTTAATAATAGAACACTTTAAACTTCAGCTAGGAGAAGAACATGCATTGCAAAAAATTAAAATTCACATATGACATTTCACAGGGGATTTTGCATTCAAAGAAATAAAAATAGCTACCTTTGCTAAGTGATAAAATTAAATCTTTGCTATTAAACAAAATTAGAAGATGATTATCTAAAAAAAATTAATTTCATTTAAAAAGTCCAGAATTGTTTCTCTTGAAAATTACAGTACCATTTAAATGAAATTAGAAAAATAAATATACAGAGAGAATTTCACTCTGTGTGTTAGTAGAAAATTTCATTAGTATCATGAGATTTTATTTTTGATACAGATAGAAGGAGACATGTATAAATATTCATAAGAATTAAAATAGAAATTTTGTTGTTTATGGTTTATATATTGATAGAAACATATTTATTAAAGGTATAAAAACACTTACTGCAAAGTGTTATACGGTATTTCTCCCACCTTCCTAGCTTGCCTTCATGGTGTAGTGGTTCTGCATGCTGGGCCGGTATTCCAGAGGTAAGTGGTTTGATTCTCTGAAGGCATTGTTAATTTTTATCTTTCCTGCTCCCAAAATACCTAATGTCTCTACAGTAGCGCCCCTCCACACCCAGGATTTGTCGATTGGGTCCCCTTAAAATCCCAGTCGCCCTTTAAAAAGGTGAATATGTAAGGTATTTCTCCCGCTTTCTTGGCGAGCCTTTGTAATGTAGTGTTTCTGTATGTTGGGCTAGTATTCCAGAGGTCTGTGGTTCGATTTCCAGCGAAGGTAATTGCTAATTTTTCATCTTTCCTGCCTCCAAATAACCTAACGTCTCTAAAGTGGCACCCTGAACTAAAAGTGTGTTGGCTGATGATTCTCCTCACCCAGGATTTGGCAATTGGGTCCCCTAAAAACTCCAGTCACCCTTTAAAAGGGGGAGTATATAAGGTATTTCTCTTGCCTTCATGGTGTAGTGGTTCTGCACGCTGGGCCTGTATTCCAGAGGTCCGCGGTTCGATTCCCAGCGAAGGTGTTTGCTCATTTTTCATCCTGCCTGCTTCCAAAAGTACTTAATGTCTCACAGTGTTATTATGAAATATAGATAAAATTACTTTTCAAGTGATCAACTTTATAATGATCAGTTACACCCTTTTATAAATTGTAAAAATAAATGAAGATCTTAGGTGATCTTAGTAAGTGAAGATCATTGGGAACAACTTCTGATATGTATTTGTAGCCAGCAAAAATAAAGTGAAATCTTTTTGCAAGTTGCAAAAAAGAGTATTAGTTTTCAGGGTAAAAGTGTGTTCTTTCAGAAACTGTGAATGACTCTTAAATGAAGTTTATTAAAAATTAAATTACATCTTTTCAATTCATCTTTATGTATTATTGTTATAAATATTCTTATTTTATTTACTTTAATATGTTCTTTCATTTCTATGTACAGGATCTTATGCCACCAGATGTTACACTGGATTGTTTAACTGCAGCTTTGGATGAATGGAATAAACAGACTGTTGAAAAATTCTCAACTGTAATTATGAATGAAAACAATATTATGCCAAAATTAGCTAAGACTTCCACAAAATGTGATGTGCATTGTTCTTCTGTGAATACAAACATACATCATATTTTTAAGCATTTTGATTTTCAGTATGTGAAACCTACACCATTTTCTGAATGGTTAAAAATAGATACAAGTAATGTTTCATCATCATCAGAATTGAATTTAAAAACTATCATAAATAGCTTTGTTCATCCTGATGTCATTTCTGTAATTTGCAAGAATCTTAAAAATGCTGTTAATAAAACTGAATAGGCATTTCTTTTGAAGTATTATATGACATAAAAAACACTGGAAGTGCACCAGAATTTAAAAGGCCAAAGTGAGTGTGTCCGAGTTGTTTAATTTATTTTTAGGGCTCAAAACTTTATTTAATTGCATTTTAAAGATGGGAAAATATTTTTATGATATAAAATAATGTTTATTCTATTATTTCTACTATTATTTTGGTAACAAAACAAAGTTCTAGCATATTTTCAAGCTGTATGTTATAAAATCACTCACACATTTTAGCTTGTGTTTTGATTTTGTGTTTACTTTGCTGGTAAGTGGTTTCTTTTATTTGTAAATGAGTAATATTGATTAATTTTTTATAAATCAAGTTATTTTTATTCAGTAAGATACCTTGAAGTGTTTCCAATTAATCTAGTAAAAAGAAATTTTGCAGAAATCGTTTCACAAAGGTATCAAATATATCGAAGAATGAGGTTTCATCTTCAACTGCAAGTGCTAGAAAACTATTTTAAGAAATTGATAATTCACATATACAGAATGATTTCAGCAATCAATTGTATACTAGATTTATCTATCCTGACGATTATATTTTCTGAACTTTGCAGTCCAGATTGTTTAACTATTTCATTGAATCTAACCAAGGATTCTAGATTGAACTGTGCATCAACTTTTCCTTTAAGTGTACAAAATTGTGATTTTCAAAAAGGATTTTCCTCATCAAAAAAATCTTAATAACATGCCTGAAAAAACATGAGACTTGTATATAACATCAAGCAGATAGGTAAAGCATATACTCATATGCATTAAAACTTTGTGCTACTT